GTATACTTTAGTGGAGCTATTAAATTTATATCAGTAAACCCCAAAGAAGAATTAGGAACAACGTTTTGAAAAAAAGATTTGTTCCTCAGGACTACCTTGTGATTCCCCCCCACTCCAAGAATTTTGGAGATAAGACATACTTACAATCATCCATTATCTAAAACCTTTGTGGTAGCAATTGCATCAAGTAAAAAAACAGAAATGTATTTATAGACTGTTTTAGTCATCATATTCAGTGGTATTTTCTGTTCCATTTCCATGGTTTCATGACCTGCTCCCCTTGAGAGGAGAATATGATTAGCTTCCTGAATTCTAACTCATGTGGTTTTCTATTGTTAGCCCAGATTCATCTAACTGGATAGTAAAGTTAAGTGCTGCAGGATTTATCCCCATGAGATTAACAGAGCCTGGAGTCTAAAGAAAGTTGTAGTAGCCTCATTGAGAGTTTTCATGTAAACCACTAAGGAAGGGATAATTTTAAAGCATTTTACATCTACCTAATGTGTAGACATATATAATGAGAATGGATTTCATACATGCTCTTTACTTGACTGAATAAGTGATTGAAATAAGTTTCAATTTAGAGAAGATACTAGATAATCATGTTTGCTTCACATGTGGTAGACAAATGAACTTTAATTATAGACAACTCTAGTAGTGATGCCTAAGGTTAAGGTTACATAATATTTTCTATTAGAAGACCCAGTACTCAGTTGTGTATTAAAAACCACCTATATTTTGGCAGGTCTCTGTTCTGAATGTGTGGGGTTTTTTGTTTTTGTTTTTGAAAATTCCAGCAAATGTAGGTTAGCAATTTTGGAGAAATAATGTAGGGAAAAATGCATTTTGCCCAGGTGAAATTTCAAATAGTTTTGCTGAGAAGCCCTCCTCCAAAGCAATGAGGCGCAAAAGGCTTGAAATTGCAGAAGGTGCTACCCTGATGCCAGAGAGGTGCATTTTGCCATCCCCATGAAAGTTTGTCCAAATTTGGCCAAGTTAGGAACACCTAAAAAAAACAAACAAAAAAAACCCTGCCACTCATACATGTTCAGTAGCGGCTTGTTAGATGATTCCTGAAGACTCTCTCTGCACTGAGCATTCTCCATCCCCTCACAGCTCCTGTTACTGACTGAACTGCACATGCACTGCCCCTACAGAATAACTGAGTGTGTTCCATCCCAGGGCTCCCAGAATGAACAGAACGTCCCATATAGGAGGTGACTCCTATTGGGAGTCAGGAGCTGTCATCAGCAAAAGTCTGTGAAACCCACTGTCAAAATGGATAATCTCCCTGTACTGGCTGGTTTTCAGAGTAAGACAATTATCAGTTATCCTTTTAGCTCAAATAGCAGAGACCTATGTGATTGATCTCAAGGTTCCAGCCCTGCTGGTGACCTATGTGGTTGTATATGATGGGGTTGTTTTTTTCAATTTATATTTAAAAAAAAAAAATCACCACATGATCTTAGGAAGTTTCAGTATAACTACATAGAACACATTAAATTTACAAAACTAAATACTCAGAAGTTTGGGGATGTCAGGATTAAGTCTACCCATATAACCCTGATATGATCCCCTTCTATGTGTTATGATAGTCATTAATTTCATAATCATACCATTTTCCCCATAGGACCCTGGCTCATTCAGGGCATGGGATGGCTGGCACTCACTGAGTAGGTGGCTATTAATTTTTTCTCATCCTCATCATTCAAAGTGTGGCCCAGGTCTTATTTATTGAGCCAAATAATTTGACTAAAGTAGATCTTCCTGAACGGTATCCAGTCTTGATTTGAAGTCATCAAAAGACAGAGAATCCCCCACTTCTCTTGGTAGTTTGTTCCAGTGTTTGAGTACTCTCACGGTTAAAAACTGAGGAACTAAATCTCAGATTAGGATCAAACACATCCAGTAATTCTGGATGTCCAATTCAAGACACCTAGGTCTATATTTTTACAAAGTATTTAGCATACATGTTCAGAACAGAACCCTATTGACCAGAGTTGCAGTTGTGAGTGCTCAGTACTTCTGAAAATCAGACCCTAGGTTTCTGAAGTTGGGTACCCAGAAAGTGAGGAACATAGTGGCCAATTATGAAAGTTTTGGTGCAAGTGACTGCCCAGCAACACCAGGAATTCTGTGGTAGAGGCAGGGATAGAATCTAGTTCTCCATCATGCTATTCATCTGCCTTAACCACAAGGCCATTCTCACTCTTCCTGCAATTCCCTGATTCATTCATTACACATCTTCCAACTTCTGCAACAAATAAGGCATGGGTCATCCAGATAAACCCTAATCCATTACACAACCCTGATTTATTTCCTGAGCATGGTTCATCCTGTGCACTGAATGGGGCAAGAGTCCTGTGGAAAAAGATAACATGATTATGTAATTTAGGACATATTTCCTAGGCAAAAGATGGCCAAACTAAGGTTTCATTTCCTAATTTTTGAATGCTTGACTTTGCACATTATGTTTGTAAAATCTTTTTGTATGACAATATATACATTTGCCAATTTGACATTTGACAAATTATTTCATTCACATTGATTTTGACATGGGAATCGATGAGAAATAAAATTTGAGATTTTTTCTGTGAAATAGTCTGACAAAAACTGATTATGTAAAACCCAAGAGAATTAAAATAGAATGAGATTTCATTTACTCAATCTTGATTTGAAAAATAAAATGATGAATAAGTTATAAAATGCAGTATGTGAACTGGACTTCTATGGATTTTTTTTGTTTACAATTTAACATGATATTACAAAAACAAAGATCTCTCTCTCTGAGACGTATGTTCATCTAGATGCACATACATTAGTTGTGTGGATTCTGGAGTGAAACTTCAATTCAATAAGATATTATTGCCAGAAGAACAACAATGGACCTGATCCTTGGCCACTGTTGTGGTCCCTTTATATCAGTGGAACAGATGAAAAAGGACCTTAAACCAGTCCCAACTGGACATTTGAGAAATCTCTCAGCTTGGCTGTGTTACATACTACCTCACCTCCAGCATAGAGGGCATAAGAAAGCAGAGGCTAAGAGCTTGGAGTCAGTGCAATGATCCTTAGTGGATCACTCCAGCTAGTGTAAACTAGAGTATCCCTGAAGCTGTTCTCACTGTACCAGGGGCCAGTTTGGTCCTCCACTGGCCCTGGGATTGGATGAGACAGGTGGCTTAGAGCCACCTATGCTGCATACATAGTGCAAAGGAACTCTGACCCTAATTCAGTTGTGGTGTTCTTCCCCCCCACCCCACTCACCCAAAGCTATACTTTTTGTTTTGTTTTTAAATGAAGATTTACTTTAGGACTTCAGTATCTTAGGGCTTGCACTTGATATCTACAAAGTCTTTTTTTTTTTTAAATAAAGAAGCTGATACTCATTGTAAACCACAGAACATGTTGTAAATACAATATTTTAACCATGTGCAGCTTTTCTATTTTTGCAGTGTTAAAAACATGAATGCAGAGCATTTGCAAACATGACTAAACAGCTATTCATCCTACATCTCCTCTTTTCGTTATGCTGGCATTATTTTATAAATAAAACCTTCTGGGTTAGTCATTACCAAATTATTAACATTTACAAAGATTTGGCTCTGGATTCTCCTTTGGGTTGTTTCATACTCATTCATTCACTATTAATTATAAACTAATAATAGTAGTGAATATTCAAAGTTGGTTTGCAAATGGAAATAAAATCTCATTCTGCGAATCAGTTTAAGGGCCTAGAATTTGGCTGTAATTTAAAAAAAAAAAAATTACTAATGTCTAAAAATTGCAGAAACCAAAACCACCACCATGTAAAAATCACATTTTGATTCTACAAAGCAAACAAACACAACAGAGAGAACTGTGGTGATGCAAATAATGTATTCCTTATTGTAATAAGTTTGTAGCAGGTTTATTGTCTCTTGCTTTTTATTTCTTGAAAGCTTAAGGTGATCAAACCAATGTTTTCATAACTGATTAAAAAACAGCTTGACAGTCAAAATCCCCAAAGGACATTTTTTTCCCCTTCAAGTTCAACCTTGAGCTTGACAGTTCCCTGCAGCTGGGTGAGAATTGAAATGGCTTACTTGAATATAGTTTATTAATACTACAATGTATTCCATGAGACTGTTTTTCTTTTTGAACACTTGCTCTATACAAAGAGGTGCTGCATTCCAAAGCTAGGCGTGAGATTGAAAGATACAGTTTCATTTAATTGGGTATAAGATGAATTATAGTCTTAGTAGAACCCTTTGAGGCAAATTCTGTCCTGACTTAAACTGTGCTGACCCTTTGAATAATATCCTGTGAATCACCCCTAAAGTCAATTTTGGTCTGAATGTCTTCATTCTTCTCTCATGCCACTTTTACACCTGATAATTCCCTTGACTTCAGTAGAATAGGTCTGATTTACATCTCTGAGAGCAGAGTTACTGTTATAATCAAGCTTGAAAATTTTAGGCCAGATTCTGATTTAATTTACATGAGTTTAAGTCAGTGGAGATATTCTAGAATTAGGCCTGCCTGGCTATGTGTTGCATTAGCTATAACTGCAATCTGGATAAGAATCACATATATTACATTAGGCCCAACGTTGCTCCCATTGAAGTCCATGAGAATAATATTGGCTCCAGTGTCTTACAGAAAGACTAATAATAGAATCAGAGCACTTGGAAGGGACTGAAGAAGTCATTTGGTGCAGTCCCCTGAACTCATGGCAGGATTAAGTACCTAGACTATCCCTTACAGGTATTTGTCTAATAACCACAGATACAAGCCATTCACAATATCCTTAACTAGTGTAAATCAATGCAGATCCATTGACTTCACAGATCTAACCCAATTTAAAGCAATCAAATATCTGGCTGTAAGTTTGTGATCTCTGAATAGATTTAATTTAAGATATTTAAGCTGTGGTTGGCAATTGACAATGTCTTTTGTTTGACACTTGTACCTGAATATTAGTATTAACCAGATATATGTTTCAGAATGAATAAACTCACCACATGCAGGGATCCCTTCAAAGATAACCAGCCATTTTCCATTTCTGCACACTAAACCACGAAACAGAGAAATTAGCTTAATAAGATAAAGTTCAGTGCAGGGTATGCATGCATATATTCAGGAAACAGTATAAGAAAGCTCCATACTGAAATCTCCTACATATATTAAAGGAACAGAAGAGATTACATAATTGCAAAACTTATCCCTAACTGCCCCTCCAGGAGAGACAACAGCTCACACACATTGAGTACTCAACCTCTTTGTGAAAATGGTCAAAGGACATGTTTTTAAGCAGTGCTCCCTAATCTTTAACGTAAGAGTAGATCTGTAAGGAATTGATGCCAAAACCCTCTGGCTTCCCAATAAGGCTTCAATCATATAATTAGCTCTGTTCAGGTGTACGCTGATGCCATACAGAGTCCCACTGAATGTAAGGTCGTCTGCACAAGTGTAAGTCTGCCCACACAGAGCCATTTGTTGGATCAGGGCCTGAAGCTTCTCTTGGGCTTCCATAAACAAGACTTTAGGAGTCTAAAGAACATGGTAAAGACATTGAGACAAGACAGAATTCTGTAGAAGTCTAGAATTCAATGTTGTCAGATGGAAAGCGTGCTCACAGTTGCTATTATACTATTTTTTACATTAGTATGGGTAGACTTAAAGTATATTGTAACGGGGGAAATTTTTTTACTGTGTATTCTAAAGAAAGAATAGAATTAAGCTTGATCGAAAGCAACTTCCATAGTCATGCTAACATCCACATAAACTCACATATGCTTTTGGGGCTCTGAAAGAGGGATTATATATTTTTATTTACGTTTTGACTGAATATTGTGGCTCCCACTGGCTGCGGTTCGCCGTTCCAGGCCAATGGGGGCTGCGGGAAGCGGCGCAAGACAAGGGATGTGCTGGCCGCTGCTTCCCGCAGCCCCCATTGGTCTGGAGCGGTGAACCGTGGGAGCCATGATCGGCCGAACCTGCGGACACGGCAAGTAAACAAACCGGCCCAGCCCACCAGGGGGCTTACCCTGGCGTGCCGCAGGTTGCCGATCCCTGCACTCGGGTGTCTCAGTGTTTGGATCAGATTTAAACATTTTCTAAAGGCAAGTAACTGTGCTTACTGAATGATTTTTCTAATTAATAAAATATTTATTGTCAAAGACCTGAACTGTTGCTACAATTTGCTAAGCAATCAATGCATTCAGAGATATTTTAGTTAAGCACTGTATGTTGCAAAAGACTAAAAATGGACATAACTTTGTCCATCTTTCACACTGCAATTTGAAAGTTATTTACAATTTGATTTATCCTCATAAGTGATATCAGCCATCATTTGCAAATGCAGTTTATTATGAAACTCTCATAAGGCAAATTTTTCCACGAGTGCATCAATTTATGAATACCTTTCGGCAAACATGGGCCAAATTTTCACACACTCTGGAAAGCATTATTATTTGTATTGTGGTACTACCTAGGAGCCTCCGGCACAGGCCAGGCACAGACAAGAAACAGGTGGATACAAACAGACAGAAGGAGCAACACAAAGAAATGAGACAATGCTGGTCAGAATGATAAGCCATGGTATCAGCACATTGGCTGCCTGATCTGTGTAAAGAAGCATACGTGTACATTTGAAAATGTGTTCCTGTATTGAAAGAATGTGTACCTATTTGTGCCCTCAGAGAAGTCCTCAGAGATAGGGACTTTATCCTTCATCACTACTCATACTGAATTGAACATATTGATTAACAAATAAAATATAAGCTATCACTACTCTTCATTTTTAACCAAGCTCAAAATAACATCTTTTATAGCTCTCAGGTGAAGCAACTGAGCTACACATTATCATGGAAGATGCAAGGTCCCTACATTTTTTAGTTGCTTGTTGTATGGGTTTCCTTTTCGTTTGATGGGCAGAAATACAATATATTCTGAAATGATGATCGATATCTGGAGCAAACAGAGCACATTCTATGTTTATAAACAGAAGCAAGACAATGAGGCTCAGACCCAGGGCCGCCTGGGGGGAGGGGGGGGTCAGTGGGGCAATTTGCCCCAGGCCCCGGGCCCCACAGGGGCCCCCACGAGAATATAGTATTCTATAGTATTGCAAACTTTTTTTTAATGGAAGGGGCCCCCGAAATTGCTTTGCCCCAGGCCCCCTGAATCCTCTGGGCGGCCCTGCTCAGACCAATATTGCTTCCTTGGAGCTCTAGTATTAATTATTGGGTATTGCTCTTGCTAATTAGATTTTCAACTTCTTTCGTCAAGTCTTTGGAAAAAACAACATCCTCTCTCAACATCCCCTTTCTCCAGTGAGAATGTAAGCTCTTAAAGGCTGTGCAGACTGTGTGAAATATTTTGAGAGAGACGCTAATGGATTAGAATTTGGCAGAAATATACAAGGGTGAAGAGTCCATGAGAACAGTGATGATAAGAAGTAGGCGCTATGGTCTTTTCTCTATAAAAAGACTTAAAGAACCATTCAACCTGAATAATTCAGAATTAAAATAAATGCACACAAGTGGTACATTGATAAATAGAACCAGCTCATGCATAGGACTTGAGCTCTGGCTCTCCTGGTAAGCAAGTGCTGAGATGCTGCCAGGTGCAGTATATAGCTTAACAGTGGAAAATCGCTATATGCTAAAAACCTGACAATTGCTCTTTAATTACACAGAATTTGATCTCCTCCTCTCATTCAGTGCCTCTCCTTTAGCTTCAAAGAGGAGGTTAAGAGTAAGTGACACAAAGTACAGTTAGAGATGGGCACAGACCACTCCAATTAGCAGAGAGCTCAAAAGGTGTGCATTATAAAAACATGTCTTTTCATTCAAAGGAATGGAGAAGTCACCAGGGACACAGTTCAGGGAATATAGTACCTGTAATTGGAGTTGCTGAAAGTTTAGCACAAGTCATCTCTAGAGCAATCCCTATATAACAATTATATATGTTTTATAGAGAATTGCTGATTATAACAAAAGCAATATTACTCTGACATCAATTATGGTACCTACAACATGAAATATTTTAGACTGAGTTCTAGAATTTTAGTCTTCATTACTTTGAGTTCCCATAAATGCTATAAAGTGTTGCTATATTAAGCCGTGCAATATTGACCAATGGCCCTTGCTTCAGGCCTGTGAGCTAATACTTAGAGAAACACATCATACAGATGAATGCACAGGAAGAATACTTAGATAATATCTACTCCTGGGATGTCAAAGATATTCCTCTGATGCCTTCAGGGAAAAGATATTGCAAGGGTGCCCACAATGAGCAAAACTGTCAAACTTGCTGAAAATATGCATTGTCATAGTGAATGATGGCAAAAAATCAGCCAATTTCTTCTTAGTTTTGAAAATATAATTTTGCTTATTAGTAAAATGATTTAGTGCAGTCTATGGTGCCATGGGTAGTATGGTATATGCAGAGTAACTTTAGCGTCTTGTTGTATAGCTACAAACCAATGGAGATGTATTTATCGCAGCCAAAAAATAACCTTAAGAGAGCTTGCATCACAAGAGGAGGTCAGGATATTCCCAATATCTGAAGTCTGTCTTTTGTGCAATATCAACTGGAAAAAAATTATGAAATACTTCATTATCTGAGTCGCCTTGCCAAGAGCTTTACTTGAATGCAGGCTAATTATTTGTTTCTCTGATTGAACAGCATTAAGAGTTTTATAAAGGCCCTCATGGTTACTGAGAAGGAATGGAGTAAGATTAGGGGCTCTGCCCCCAAATTAAAAATACCTTAATGAAGTGAAGCATGTTAATACATCTATCCTGAACATTGCTACATTCATAGGTTAAGTAGTGTCCTCTCCTAAGTTAGGGTTCATAAGAAAGCCACTGATATACACCTCTACCCCTATATAATGCTGTCCTTGAGAGCCAAAAAAAAAAAAAAAAAAAAAATCTTACTGCGTTGTAGGTGAAACTTCGTTATATCGAACTTACTTTGATCCACCGGAGTGCGCAGCCCCACCCGCCCAGAGCGCTGCTTTACCACATTATATCTGAATTCATGTTATATCGGGTCGCGTTATATCAGGGTAGAGGTCTAGATTCAGTCAAAACAAATAAAAATATATAATCCCTCTTTCAGAGCCCCAAAAGATGAACTGTTGATAGTTTACAGAATTAAAGTAGAGTTCATCTGTCCTAGCACATAACTCAGAAATTCAATGCATTCTGCATCTCCAGCGCCATAACAAACTTTTTTTCAAATTAAACAAAAAGACAAATTTAAATATTCAGTCATAAAATAGCCTCAATAGGATGCTTTAGCCACCAGTCCAGACATTTCACTGTTTGATAAAGGTGCCATTACACTACAACCCTACTCAGACTGGCCATATCCCATCTAAAAATGCCTTGAGCAGGGTTGGATGATTCTGTGGTAAAATCTTCAGCAGCCTACCTTCAGTAGCACACCTACCATGACTAGTGCACCGCTAGTGGGACTCCAATAGTGGCAATTTACAACAGCAGAAGATTTCCCCTCACACTTGTGGGGATTCAAGGGGAGAGTACATGGCCTGGATGGGCCTCCACTTATGAATTAATAGAGCCAGTGACCACAACAACTCCCTTGTGGATTTCCTGCAGCATTGGAAGGGGAGGATGCATATTTCTCTCCCATCTGCACCCCACTCACAGTTCACTAGACATGACAAGCTCCTCAAGGAACTTGAAAGGGGGGGGGAGGGGTACAGTGCCACCGAGGCGGCTTTCATACATTTGGAGGGAGCAGGGCCTCCCACCCCCCTTCCACTCCCTACACAATCATTAGGGCAGAAGCTGGTAAAACGTAAGGAAAACAGGAATGAGCCAATGAGAGATCCAGTATATGGTAAGGCTAAACCAATTCACTCACAAAAGATGTGTAGTATAATCACCTGGGAGAATGGAATTGCTAAGCCTTTTATGCAGATTCTTCAGGCAGTGACAGAGCATTGTTGCTACTTAATACAAGTCCATAATCAACAACAAAAAGGAGCTGTTGGACAGTCTGTCTAAATACATTCACCTAGCTAGCGCTCACAA